GCTGCTGGGATTTTGTTTGTACTTCAACTGATGCTTGGGTATGGTAAAAAAAGAAATATTCTAGTGAATATGTTCTTCCTCTCAAACTGACACACAGAGAAAAGATTGCTTAAAAGTTGTGTGAGGCAGAGGAGCATGAAGAAGTAGAAGTACTATACAAGAGAAAAAATAATGATCCACAAAAAAAAATATTGTGTGTACAAAGCAAGCATAGAGTTTACAGCACCAGAATATCATTTTATCCAAAAGATTCCCTCATTTACACACATTTTTGAGCTTTTGGCTTCTCTGCCAAAAAAATATTATTTTCATCCTCATTCTATTGCTTGCTTGTGTGCATATTGTGTATGGGGAACTTTTGATCAAACATGGTAAATTTATTTTATTGTGAGAAAGTGTTTTCAAAATATGGATAAAGTTTTTTTTCTGAGAGATTTACTTCTGGGAAATTAATTTTCCATTTTAGGTACTTTTAAGCTGTGATTTTCGGGAATTTTTAGCTGCGATTAATTTTGGGATTTTTTTTCTTCGAATTTTTGGATTCATTTCTGTTAATTATTTGCAGTCAATGGATGTGATTATCTCCACATATTGTCAATTAAAGCAGAAATCGAACTAATTCTGGGCTTGTATTATTCCTTCCTCTTTCTCCCAAAATTTCATGCAGAACTGATGATTCTAAGTCAAAGAGATGCATATGTTTAAGTTATAGACAATTCCCATTTTAACTTAGTATTTTGTCACTTGTTACTTTAGGATCTGATAAGCTTATGATGACCTAGTGATTAGCGAATCGTTCATGAATTAATCATAAATTAAGAATCTAGGGTTCAATTCCCATTAGTGATTAAAAATTAAAGAAATCATGAGTAATTTTCGGCAAAGTCATTTTTGTATTTTTTTGGAACCAAAATCAAGACTGAACAGCTACATTCCAATATTTAATGCCCACTAAAAATTTCCAGAACAATTTCCCCCTAAAACCATTTTCCAATTCCATCAAAAAACACTCAATTCAATGACATTGAAGCGACTCTTTGAAATACAAACTCAAGCAGTAGCTTCAAACATATGTGTAGATAGCCTATAGTCTTTATAATCAAATACAGATATTTGAGCATACATGACGAAAACATCCCTAAAGCCTCAACATCAAAGAACGGAAGGCAGAAGGATCTCATGTTCGGTCTATAAATTTGATATCAATTAAAATTAAATAAATTTTCTATTTTAATGTGTGTGACCGAACTTTGTAGACCACTTCCATTTTAGATACTCTTCGATTTCACTCTACAATGTCTATAATGCACAACTCTCTCGTGTATATGTATGTATACATAAAATATCTTGAGGTTACGTTTTTGTTGTGGTAATGTTGATATAAATGGCTCTTATTTTTTGACGATAAAAAATGGAAGTTAGAAGAACAAGTCTCGCTCAATACACTGCATGCATATACTTAATGATTTTTTTAGCACATTTTTCATTCTTATTCACTCATTTCTGTCTACTTTGTCTACAAGCATTTGTCAGTCTCATTGTGATTAATCACAAGTAATTTAGTATGAAAGGTTAATGAATCACGTTAGCTGCTAAAATCAATATCTCGTACCAATTTGAGATACTTTTCTTTTTTACCAATTACTCTTATTTCTTGAAAAATGAGCTTAATGGTTTTAAACTTGCTGCTTCGTGGAAATGTAAAATTTTGAAGAATTTTCAATTTTCTCTCATTTCTTTTTTGGGGTAAATAACGTGAATGAATGATGATCGTTCATTATTCTTACTCGAAGGCAAAAAAGCATCTGAGATGTGGTTTCTCCATCATCATTTCCTTTCGTCCATCATGGCCATTGACATCTTTAAATCACTACTTTATGCTGATGACGAGGAGGTTTTTCTTTTGGTATTAATTCATGTCATTCTGTGGTGCTAATCAGTATGGAATCAGTTGGAATCGGATAGAAGGCGCATATTAATGAGATTTTTGGTTAAGGTTAATGGATGCTTGATCGTACCTTAAGATTCTTGAACTTAAAGATAAATTTTGTCATAGAATCTGTGTTGAAGTAGTTGAGTCTTTGGATTTGGCGCAAATCAAGTTTGCGAACGGTGTCAATGAGCTTTACATAACGCTTTACAGCATAAACTACAAAATTCAAGGTCAACAACATACTATTTGCCTCAGGTTATGGACTAATTTCACAAAATTCCTCTCAAAAATTCCATCCTCAATAAGCACCCAGAAAGGTACGTGAAAATGCGTCAATTTCATCACAATGACGATTCAACTTCACCCAAAAAAATCCATCCTGTCTCAAAGGCAATTTCTCAGTAACCATATGCATGGATGTAGGAAATAAAAAGAAAATTGTAAGAAATGTGTGTGCATACATATCAGAAAAATTGGGGAAACTTGACGAGAAGCATCTCCACTTCATATCTTTTTTTTGCCGTTCTCATCATCATCATGAAAAATAATTTTTCAAAAAGAGGAGATGAAATTTACTTCTTTTATGTGCGTACGAGAGGATGTCTAAGAAAAATAAACATTACATGTTTGTAAAAGAGAAATTTCTCCAGAAACATAACATTAAACCTCCTTCTTTCTTTCTTTCCCATTGTGAACGTGAATATTCTTATTGTGTGGTTCAGTGCTTCTCAAACAGTGCTCTACGGCACTCATTGTTTTTCCCGCAAAATGGACCAAAATCTTCAAGTGTAACACATTAGTAAGTGATTTACATGTCGTTTCCAAAAGTTTGAGAACCACTGATGTAGTGTATATCCATATGTGCGTGTTTGCAACTCGTACATCATCATCATCGTCATCGTCATCATGATGAGTGTTCAGGAAAAAAAAGCCTTTACATTTATCAGGAACGAGAGTAAGAAGATGCGTAGGCGAAATGGACGAAGAGTGTTGATAATGTGCTTTATTATGTGCTCATATGCGAATATGATGGATACACTACAGCATCAATAGACTCATTCATAGCGGATGAAAAGGTAGATTTTTCGTAACTGGATTCAAGTGCTTTATGTTTATGCAACAATTCTGATTATTGAATTACCGACAACATTTGGTACTTGAAAAAGTTCATATTGTTTATCATCTATACACTTGATGTTTCTGCTTTATGATCTCACTCGTGTGTACTTATCTGTGTCTGGGCTTTTTCTGAGAATGCTTCTTTATTGAATCAATATATGCTGCATATGAGGTTCTTTTATTATTGTTGTTTCGGAACAATTGTATTCAATTTTGATCTAGACATGCTTCTAACCGCTTTTCTGTGAGGAGATTGTGCATTAAAATTATTAATTCTTGAAAGAAAGCATTTTGCGTTGTGGCAAGATTTTCTATAATTTTTGGAACATGTTCTGTTGTGGCTTTTTGGTTGGACTTTTCAGTTTTATCGTTGAGGGTTGTCTCAATGTACACGAGCATTTATGTAAATGCTCAAATTAATGCGTAGTTATGTTCGTCATAATTTCATCGCACAAGTATGTCAGAAAACATTAAGTTAATTGAACTTCAAAGTTCTTACTTTTTAAAGGAAAACACCCCCAGAGCTTTAAAACATCATTTAAATGCTTTTAAGAAAAAAAGAAGAAAATAAAATCATTTAAAGAAGTTGAAAGGAAATGTCTAGAAAATCAATATTACATGAATTGGAAAGATTTCAAGAACAACAAGAAAGCTTCAACAGAAGGACACAATTTAGATAATTTTATTTCTAAAAATAATTTTTATATTGTTTGTGAATCTTTCTGTCATCCACTTTTTGCATATTGAAGTTCGTACCATTAAAAAAAATCTGATGATTTATCATAATTAGAACGTAAATGGCTCAGGGTAATTAGCAAAAAAGTAAAGCCCACGTCTAATTAATTAATATAACAATGTACACGTGGAATGAAAGACAAAGATTATTTAAATATACTTTTTTTGAGGACTTGAAGGTATATTTATCAGTGCTGATTCTGTCTAGTGTCAATAATTAAATATTCAGCTGGATCTGGTGTTTAAGGTTGCGACAATTTAATCATGGATTGAGATTCGGACCCTCTTTGAACAATTTCTGATAATGCCATTTATTTTTCAGCAATTGACAAGTAAACCAGGAGAAACCTTCAATTTAGATCAGTGCTGTACAACCTTTTTTTGTGCCACGGTACACCGTGGTGGAAAGCTATAATGAAATTGCACATGGCTAAGGCTAGTGAAATTTTCTGAATTTCACTTACTAGTGTGCCGAGACACATGGGTTGCCCATCACTGATTTAGATAAATAAGATTTGACTATTCTACCTCCATGACTAGTGCATCTCTTGCCTTGCACCATGCTTTTACATTTAAAAGTCTCTAATTCATCAGGCTTTATTATTTGCTGTGCTGCAGACAAACCCTAATGAAACAACTCTGATATTTATAAAGATATTATATTTCTGCCATTTAACATAAAAGAAAGTCAGAAATAAACAAAAATCTTTGCTCGTGTTGCTTAAACACGAAATTTCCTTCACAGATATTTAAATTTCAACTTGTTTGGCAGCACCAAAAACTTGTTAAAGTCAAAAAAATTCTTCTTCTCGAAAAAGTAAGGTGAAACATTACAAAATCTTTCAGTATGTTGTGGCAACAACTTGTCAAATAAGAAGAAGTTCTTGCTTTATTTATTCATTCACATCCTCATTCAGCATACACACTCAACGTTATTTTGCTCGATTTTTTATTTGTTAAAAAATTTATGTACACATTTCAACATTATTTTGTTTTCATCCCTTCATCATACACATTTCAAACTCAATCATCCGCAAATGTATTAATATTATCCGTCCGACACATACAATAAACAACAACAGTCACGTCAATAACAATGGAATGAAGAAAAAATAATAATATCAGCAACATCAACAACCAAACAGAAAGGTAGGAAAAAAATATATATTTTAATTCAAACTAAGAATCACTTATTTTATATTATTGAGCCTACCTGCAGCTATAATGTGAAATATACAAGGGTGCTTTTGTTTTCCAATTTTGTTCGTCGCAGAGCACAGTAATGTTCCATAATCAAGTTCAGTTACAGGTCGGTATGAAACAAACGACGATGTTCCTGTAATGAAGAAACAGCGGGAAATATTTTAATTATAAATCTTGCATTTAGTCGCTCTCTGTATTTGTTTGTACTCAGTATGTGCTATTTTCGTCTCGTCGCTTTCATTTACTCACTCGTACTCATTTAGGACGCGATGTGAAGCTTGTTTTTGTGATAATATTAAGTATGGAACTTTCAGTATGAGCACATTAACCCTCACACTTCATCCAATTTTGGAGTAATTCATTCACATATCTAAATGTTTCAACTCGTGTACCACATCATCTCATAATTCTCATACATTTCATTTATATATGTAGAGTATGAAAGTATTATGTGTGGATATAGTTAAGGTAACAAAACAGAACAGAAGCGCTAACAAATTGAGTTAAAATTTTCCATTTTACGCGTAATTGGAGTGTTTTGGGAATTTTTTTTTATTATTTGTTGTTGCTGCTTTTCTCTTGAGCTTGTACAAAGCAAATCCATAGAAAGTTTTATGAGTAACGAGCGTAATGCAAAAGGCATTTTATCATAATTAAATTTGCTGTTACTTTACTTTCATACAATATTACAATTATCCTTAAAAAGTCTCTCTTTTCTCTCACTTGTGGATAAAGTATGCCCTTAAAAGCTCGAAAACAATACAATTAGATCGCTAATTGAATTTAATTTTGTTTCATTCTTTTATCGTAAGATGTTTTTGCTTATCTTTGAAATTGGATTTTCAGATGGAATCTTTTGATCGATTTTTCTTAGGGCTGATTCAAGTTTCTATTTGTTTTGTGATTGAATTTGTTTTTGCTCCACTTTTTTGAATCGTAATTTGTTTGAAGTCTGTATTAATTTGTTTAATTTGGGCTAAAATCTTGCATTTGAAAACTCGAGGTGGTCGAATCCATGGAAAAATGAGAGTTAATCCAGAGTAAGTGATGAGAATTTTTGAAAATAATCAGTTCGTTGATTTTTATTCAAAAAATCATGGTTTAATTGCTATTAAATACAAAAATCATATTTTAAAGCTTCTCGTGGATTCGCCCAAAATTTGCAGTTCTCAAAAATCGTTTGTATGCGTTGCGATTATAAATGAAAATACGAAATGGTAAAAATGTGCCGAAACACTCAAAATTTCTACGTTTATTAATGCACATATACATATGGCTCATACATGATGATCATTGTGCCATACTCTTCACTTGAACAAATGCGTGTGCCTGTCTATTTCAACGAAAATAGCACATTTCTATGTTTATTTCAATTTTTGCCATTGCACCTACCGTGTCTTGATACATGTGATGCTGCAACATCGATACTTTCAGCTGAATTATTGAAAGTCCATTTGAAATCTATGTGCAAACATTTTTGTTAATTGAGGTAGAAAAAACAGCAAGCACGAAAGAGAGAAGAAAAAGAAAAAGAATTAATGAATGAAAAAAAAAATCAATTTCGCTTAATGAAATAAATCATAAATAAATCCAGTTGTTGAATGTTTTAAAGCACCCCGCTCGTGTTCACAAATCGTCCACTTATAAAACGAATAGAAATATTTTTCTGATTGTTAGGAACACTTACCGACTTCCGGTGGATTTGCGTCGACGATACACTTGATTTGAGCATTTTCGTGCTTTGCAACCCCATACACTCTCGGCTGTTGTGGGGCACAAGTTGGAGCATCTGTTGAATTGGAAATTTGATATTTTTTATAAGAACGGGTAACAAAAAAAAATAACACATAGAAATGGATGAAAATTGGAAAGCAACATGAAAAAAAGGTCACACTAGATTTCTTTAGTTACAAATTACCAAATCAATTGGATTAGAAGGCATAGAACATGGGAAAATGTAGATTTTAGCATATTTTCATGGCAAAAAGGTTTACGTCTGCAATCGGAAGGGGCATTTTGACAGTCATTAAATTTATTGATCAGTTGCTTTTTATGAACGGACCTATTAATTTGCAATAAAAATCATAAAAATGGAAATCAATTCATGCTTGTTGTAGGTTTTTATGGGAAAAAAATCAGTTAACATCGATGCCTGCCGATTGAATCACTTTGTGAGAATTTTTTGTCTGAATTGTTTGAGGCAGAGTTGGAATGCATGAATCGGATCAAGCTAGTAAATTTCAAATGGATGTTTTGAAACTAATAGCTAGTTTGAAGCTGAGCTACTTGTCCTGAAAGGTACACAAAATCCATTCAGTACCTACTCTGCATATCCATTTATGATTTCAAAATTACATCTTAATGCTATCTCCAAGAGACTTCTCTTAAATAAAGATCTTATACTGCCCCAAGGTAGCTCCATAATGAAGAAAATTAAATTTACTCAGTATCAAATTTTTTTTTGACCACAAAAGCCCCTCGAGATTTAAGGCAAAAGAAATTGCTTATAATGTCAATTATGGAAATAAAAAAACTGCGCAATTTCTCTTCAAATTCATGTCAATGCAACCTTCAACTTGGATTTACTTTTTCATTTGATTTGATGAAGGAAAAATAATTTCAAACTCGATTGCTTAAGACAGAAGAACAAGCAAGTTGAAGAAGAAGAAGATTATTCAATGAGCATATAAACAGTAGAATGAATGAGTGAATAAGAATGAGAAGGAATACAGAAAAATAAAATAAAATAAAGAAAATTACTTACACATCACATTCAATTCAAATGGTAAACTTTCACCATCGCCCTCGCTATTGTAGCCAACACATGAATAATTTCCGGCCGTTGTACGTGAAACACTTTGTAACACTAGCGAATGGTTGCTGATTATAACACCCAGAGAGATATTATGTGGTAACATACGACCCTATATATGTTTATATACATATTTTTTTTTGTGTTGTTTAAACGATGTAAATGGTTAAAAAAACAGCATCAGCAGTGGCAACATGTATGAAAAAATCACACACATATGAGAAAATCGCATGTGAAAAATAGAAAAAAATGAGGAAAACATCATGAAAAATTAATGAAAAATCCTTTCTTCCGGCTTGTACAATAGGACAGCAAAAAAAAAAGGTGAAAAGCTGCTAGAATTTTTTAATACTTATTATTTATTTATTTTTATTATTAAACCTACATTATGTCGCCATTCAACTTTATATACACCAGGATGTGCAGTAATGATACAATCAAAATAGACATCGGTTCCTTCCCGAATGTTGTCGGGATCTAGCGAGCTGCCCAATCGAACTGTCGCTTCCGGTATATCTGTTAATTGAGAGAGAAAAACATTTTTGAATGAAATTTATCATTAACAAGCTTTTTTCCCTATGTGCGCTTCATGTGGATAAGTGTAAATGGGAGGGATGTTGAATTTTATGATTAATAGAGTTATTTTTCAGGGTTAGGATATGAGAAGACTTGACAGCGTTTATTTAAGTTGGATGCTTTTAAAGTTTGGCATTTGAGGGTGATAGGAAGGGGCAGGAAGAGATAGGAAAAGATAGGGGGAGAGAGAGGGATAGAGAGGGATAGGAAGGAATATAGAAGGATAGGGAGGGATAGGAAGGAAAAGAGAGTGAAAGGAAGCTCAGCAATTCACAAATTTTGCTTAATACTAAGCTTTCGACCGAATTTTTCAAACTTAATAGTCCTACTTTAGTTTCATAACAATATCCTCATCGTAAGCTTCCAAAATATCTACAAAAATTTCAATACATTTTAAATACCTGAATGATTCATGTAAAAATGTATAAAAATTCACCAATGCATCCACAAAAGTATCAAAATAATGAGTTCAAATTTATACACACAAAAGAATCCCCCCATTATCTATGTAATGCCCTATGTTGAAAACAAATCGGATCAAAAGAAGGTTGAATGATTTTTTCTTCCTTCCTCGACTCGACCTGTTCAGCATTCTGTTTTGTGTACGTCGAAGAGGATTGTGTGCATGTAGTCCTTCATATTAGAGCAGAAAAAGAAGATTATTTCCCATGGCGAGCACATTCAACTCTTTTTTTATTTCTCCTATAATTTTCTTATTGCTTTCTCACTCTAACATGAATGCTCGTGATTCCACTCGATTTAAAAACAAGTACTGATGACAGAAGAAAAATAACATGGGCAAGTTGAGGAGTTCAATGTAATTTTTGCTAGTCAGAGCGCTGTGCTGCTTTCATTGAGCAATTATTCCCTTATCAAATTGGAATTAAAAATTAGAAGCGAGACAAGCTTCAAGAACAGAAATTAATGTTGAAATGCTTATTGATTGGCTTGAGCTTTAATAAAGTTTAAAGATTCACTGAAGGAATTAATTCAATATTCAAATTAATTCAAGAGAATCGAGATTAGCAACCTTATTGAATCTTATGAAGCAAGTCTATAAGCTGATTATCTTTTTCTCGAGTCTCAAAATTTAATTTCCTCGGTCGTTCACTTATGATGTCCAATTTTGAGGTTAGAATCTTTCTCCGGACCTCCAAAGCTTTTGATCCTAAGATCACTAAGTTGACAATATTAAGAATGAGTCTATAAATTCCATTTTAAAACTGACGTCATTTATAAATGTCCTCATTTCCAGCTCAGAAGACAAATTTAGTGAAATGACTACATAAAATAATGATGTACAGATATTCAATATATAAATTAGCGTAAATTCCCCTCTAAAAATTTTATATCACCATTGAAAATTCATTTCAACATTTTAATGTGTCTACATTCGAAAATTTTCCAATATTCAGTTTAGTCTCTCGAAAATCCTCTTGGGAGAGGAACAAAATTTTAATGAACGAAATATCTCCGACCGTTTCTATAATTTGATTAAATATTAAGTACGTTGCCATAAATAATTTCAATGGCAATTATATGCGAGTTTCAGTCAATTTCACTCTGTACATAGATCAAGGTGTGGTTTGAGTGAAACTTTTTTTTATGGTTTCAGTAAAACTGCTGATGCTGGTAGCTCCTGTATGGATGGAGTTGTGATAAACTGGAGCACATAAAGAAGTTGAGAGAACATAAAATTTTAAGGTGAGTATGGATGGAGTTTTGGAGGGGATAATGTGAAGCTTAACATTAATAGTGCTTCTAAATTTTAATTCTGATATTTGAGTGCTTTGCCATTTGATTTTGAAGGCAGCACTTGACTTGCACATTTTGAATAGGATATTTGATAATATTTTGAATGTTAAGCTTCATAAAGAGACTTTTGGTTGCATTTCTGAATTAATTTTATTTATGAGATTCGAACCTAGGATTTATGAGTTCAATCCATTGCTATTGTTTACTCATCAACGTAGCTACAAAGCTTAGAAATCGACCAATTCAATATTCTGCTAAACTTCTATTAATATGATCAAAAATCCATTTCAAATTCTAGTTTATGCTGCATTTCAAGCTGTAAATCGATTCTTCAATTGACAATTCTCATAAAATATTCATACTAAAAACTGAACTCATAATTCCTTAAACCCCTTTTCAAGCTCTAACATCACTTCATAAATAAAAACTGCACACAAAATAACAATAACCTTATATCAATAATGTTGATCTCCTTTAAATGTTTTTAGAAATCACTAGTCTAATATATCCATTACCTAATTGATTTTTCTTATTCTTTTTAAAAACAATAAAAACAGGCAGATACACCTTAGTCATCTACACCCATAATAACTTTCATCGCACACCAAAATACAAAAAAATAAATTAAGGATTTTTTTCCTGCGTATGACTGAGCTGTTGTTAGCCACAGCCTGTCACATCCATTTTAATGAGAGGGCGATTGATGTCTCATCTTCATTTGGTGAACGTATCCATGGTGATTCATATGGTGATGAATCTGACATTTCCCTGTGTATATCCATAGACTGAACATAAATTTTGTGTATGAGTTTGTTAAGTCCACTTCATATCTCCTCCCAAAAGTCACCAGAATGTTTTTTTTATCCCTCACTTCTTTGTGCATGACTATTAAAGTTATTTCAATTATTTTCCAATTTGTGTTCGGCTATTGATTTTCATTTAATAGCATGTTTTTTACCCATACTGATGTCTATAACGTTTGCGAGATTTAAATGTCCATTAATATAGGAATAAGATGAGAAGAAAGTGATAAAATATGACACAAAAGGTATGGATATAAATTTATATTTTTTAAGGGATAAAAGATCGAAAGAACTTGCACAAATGGATATACACAAATGGGGGATGAATGAACGATACCATACACATTCAATGGATTGGGAAAATCTGCTGAATGATTCTCAACTTTTTTTTTTCATCCATCCTTTCGTGATTTTTTGTTATTGGTGCGTCTAGCGACAGAATGGTACAGGAAGTGATTGTGAAAATATTAAAACCTTTTATCCTTTTTTTTATTTCCATTTTAGAATCTTTTTTACTTCTTTTCATTCTAACATTTCTTTATTAAATTTTTAATTGAGTCCTTTTTTCCTTTCACTCAATTGTTGATGTTTCTTCTTCCTTTATGGATGATATTTTGTTCTTTTTTTGCTCTCTCGGATTATTTCGATGTATTAAAGATAGATGGGATGTAGATATGGATAGAGGGCAGCAAAAAAAAGGTAGAGAAGCGTGCACCAAACCTTAATGGAATAAGTAGCTACATATTTTTTGATGAACATTGAGCACACACATTTGATCGCAATTTTTAAGGTGAAATGTACGGATGGATGAGGATTGACCCGAATGTGTATATAAGTACATGCTATATATTATATAGGAGTATTTCTTTTTTTTTGCACGCACATATATTTTGAATGTAAAGGTACGTACATACATACCATATATAAAAGGTTAGTAAAGAGCAAGTAGCATTTTCCATTAAATATTTATCAAAAGGCATTATCTCAAGCTACATTTACGCATTACACTTTCTAGCTTTCCGGAGGCTCTAAGAATCAAAGTGATTTATTGGTTATTGATTCTTACATTTTCTTTACATAAAGATTTTTTTTCTTTCTCAATTTTTGTACATTTTTTTTTAAAGGGAAACAGTATGAAGGGATTGAATAATCTTAAAACTTGTTTGGATGGAGCTTGCAGATATTTTTAATGTGTTAGAGTCGCTTTGGATGTAAATTTGTTACTAAATTCAGGGAGAATCTTAAAATTTTGTTTTCAATGATTGAGCCATCAATTATTGGTGAGAATTGAACCCAAGTGTTTATAAAATTTGGGTTTTAACCTAACAACTTGGCCGCAGATAGCTTAATCTTTAAGTGACAGATTTGTAATATCCTAGACTCAACTCTGCTCCGATAGCATTATATGACTAAGTTTCAATTTGATTCCACTCAGTCATTAATAACATGCTCTAAGAAATAATTTCATTCATCAAAAAAGTATTCATCAATCATCAATTTACAGCACAAACTTCCCCTAGAGAAACACAACAGGAGAGTTTCAACTCAAAGAGCTTCCTCAATTGTTCTACGAATCCCCATCCATAGTAGTCTCCCTTACTGTCAAGACTTATTTTTCGTTGATGCGCCTCCAACTCTCATGTCACTTCCAATCATTCTCTTACCTGACTTCTATTCTACGATACTTTATTTTTATTTTTCTGTTCGAAACAGACTAGCTGTAGAATGTAATATTGATTTCAATCCAGTGAGAAGAAAGGAAAAAGGAACATCAAGACTTACTTATTCCTTCAAAATGGCTTTGAGCCTCAGCATATACCGACATAATTTGTTTATAAACTGTATTTTTTTCTGCCTTCGCACAAAAAAAAATAAGTAATGTAAGAAAGAATGAATGCAAAATAACAGAGCAAAGCCGGAGAAAATAGAATATAAAATCGATAAGACGGTTCCATAATGGAAAAAATATAACAAAAATACACACAGTAAGAAACAGATAGAAATATCTAAAATAAGCTTCTTTTTCAAATCAATGTTGAAAACTGTGAAAATTCTTCTCAAACATGCTGTTTGTTTTGGTTTAATTTAGTAAATCTTTCGACTCTTCGCCTTTCTTTCAGACAGTGTGGTTGTCATGGTCAGATGAAGATATTGGGAGTCAGGGGGCAATGTTGGAGATATGACTAGCTTTTTTGAGATTTAAGTTTTAATTTTTTGAATTTTAAGGTTAAAAACAAATTTCACTCAGTTGTAGAAGCATGCGACTGGAAATCACAGCTTATGTTCCTGAATCAACAACACTGTCCAATGCAAAAGCGAATGTACGAGAATTTTCACAATGGACACTGCAAAAGAACAAGTCGAAATTAATTTTGTTTTCCTTAAAAAAGAAGAAAAAAATCTCTGGTATCGCCTCGCAATCGCAATTCTACCATTTTTTTGCCTTTTTCTTATTTTTATTTCATTTATTTGAAAGTAAAACATTACCCAGAAAGGAACAAAAAAATATTTTATGTCAATAAAAAGCGACAAAAGTCAGTTTCGGAAAATGTAAAAGGAATTTTAAGGGGGGAATTTAGAATATAAAGCTAAAGAAGTTTTATGTCAACAGTTTTAAGAAAAGATTCGAAAATTTACATTCTAAGTTAATGTCATAAAGTAAGTCATACAAATTTTTGGCATCGAAATTCCTCTGACGACATTTCCATAAAGTAAATCTCTCGCTCACTATGTGACTTGAAGCAATGAAATTTTATGCTTTTCTTGCTCTTTTCAGAGATTTTTTTTTGTTGCCTGCCTTGATCCCGAAGCCTTTGCGATATTTCTTCTACATTACAACTGTGTCATTAATCAAATGTTTCCTTACGGATATACGATTTTTGTGTAACATGTGCCTGACGTATTTTGTATAACATGTAGTCATTACTTGTTATATTAATGTTGCTAAATTTAATTTACATTTTTTTAATGAGAATGTTAAATTGGATGGAAAAAATGTGCTTTTTTACTGTGTGTCTCGTGTCAAAGGCAGGGATGGAGTTGAGAGAATATTTGGGGTGGGGGTAGGTCTAGTCAGTCATAGTTTATTGTACTTGAACTCTACGCTTTGTTCTTTTTTATACGAACTCATCTAATTCCGCTTTATGTTGAAGTTACAAAGATCAGAGTGGTTTAAACTACAGTGAACACTCCTATCAGACATCCCACACCCCAGCTATAGCTCTAATCACAAATTAAAACTGATTCAGGATCAACTGCCGACTAGATTCATAACATTTCTGTCTGGGATATAAAAAAACAACGAAGAAAATTGCTCTTAAAAATTGCGAGAAGAAGTAAAATTGACTAAAAAAGGGAAAATTGTTTGTTTGCTGTATGTACAATAGAGAAAATGGAATAAAAATCGCATTGTGTAATTTAATTTCTTTAAACAAAAAAATAAAAGAAAATCTTCTGTCTTCCCAATTTTCTTTTTTCACATTGTTTGATGAAAATTGTTTAAATTGTGTATGTACTGAAGTTCAAAAACGTTTTTTTTGTCGTCAACGTCTTATCCCCTCGCCGTCATTTCGCAAGAATGAAACGAAGGAGAATGGAAGACATAGCGCACATGAGGGCACATGGGATTGTGTTGCGGTAGATGAGGAAAAATAAATTTAGAATAAGAAAAATTCTATTATACTCACATTGAATGTCTAATCTCCAGCCATCTTCAAGTGCTTCTGAAGGTGACATATGATTGTATGCTTTGCATGACAAATACTTTCCAGCATCGGAACGACTAAGTGTAATTGATAATGTGCTTGTGGTCTGATTTCCATCACTCGATGTCTAATACCGAGAAATGAGAAGGAAGGAAGAGATATGAGATATTTTTATAAAATAATAATTTTCCCATAACATATATAACATTTCACAGGATATGTATGTGTCTTCGAACAGAAAAAAAAGTAAAGTAAAGAATGTAAAGAATATATTCACAGAAAAAATAATAAAAGTTCCAACAAAAAGAGATGAAGGAAGCAGCGTTTAATAATAAATCAAATTTTTTACACACTCATAATTTTTTTTCTATTTCGCAACAAAAGTGTTTCATGGCTTTCTTATTCCTCTTCTATCCCCCGTGCATGTACTTTTTTTTCTTGTGTTCTACGGACTGCCTTTGGTGGTTTGTTCTTCAGGGTTCAACAAAATTTGATTTTCTTAGTGGATTAAAGTTGGATGTCTTTTATATTTAGGGTATTATGAATGATAACCAGGAGTCTGAGGGACGTCCAACTGATGACATCGATTGCAAGCTTTTTGCAGAGAAGGGCAGGAGATACCCAAATAGTACGAGTCTGTTAATCGAATAAAAATACGGCCTTGCTTCGATTTAAATCCATCATCATGCCAGAGTCACACTTGCTTGGTGACGGATTTCTGATCAATTAACCGACTTTTGCCATTCAGGATAGCTGTTAAAAGTAGCTTTAGCTAATTAACAGTTTGACTCGTGATCAGAAAAACGACAAGTTGCTCTCGTGAGTCTCGAACTCAGAACAGCTGTAATTTTTACACGCTTTTTATTGAGTTGCTCTGTTGGTTTCTTTGTATGTCACGTTCAAATCTTGCAATCGATTTTTCGACCACTTCTATTGCTGCAATCGAGCTCAAATTTTGTATACACACGTATTCCCGGTGACAATACAATATTTTAACACTTTGGAAACACAAAAATGCTTAATTATAGTACAATTTATGTAGAACTTTTTTATATGGGAAAAAATCCAATGTCAATGATATAAAATTTTGATTTGTATTAAATATTATACTTGTGATGCTCTAAAGCCATGTTTATGATTCATTATAGTTTAATTAATATTACAAATTATTAATTATACCTTAAGTTTGAGCAGCTAAAGATATTCTGGTAAGACAAAAAAATTGACATGTAATTTTTTTTGAATATTCGTAAGTGAAAATTTGAATTTTCAAAAAAACCGTTAAGCACAAGTCCGTTACGAATTAATGCAAAATAACTATTAATATGCGATGTGCATTTAGCAGGCATAGTTTAAGCATAAATTTATGCTGTTTTTAATGTATTAAATTGTTCATAACACTTCATCAATTTAATTAAATTGACTTTTCTATATATTAACGGCTTGGCGTATTTTTGCATAACATATAAATGACATTCATTGAATTTAAATTTGAAAAATCCGTTATAAATACGTTTTATATGTGATTTGCATCTTTATGTTAAGAATCCACACGTTATGAAGTAGAAATGGTACAGATAAACACAAAATCTTTACGAATGATTTTTAATTTACTTTTCTAATGAATGGTTTAAAAAACACAGAAAGCGCACATAATTGAAGTTCAGGACATTATTTTGAAGAGTTTTATGTGTTTACAGGTATGACTTAAATTATAAAAACGAATATAAAATTTTGACAGTCGTTACTAATTACCCATTAAAAACTGGGAATATATCAGAGATCGAAGCCGATTTTTTCGGCTTAACTCAATTTTTGATTTTTTTGATAGAAAAAAGCCATTTAACACTTATTTCAAGTATTTAAATAGAACTTTACATGCTTTACTATGATTCTGTGAAATATTTTTTCAGCATGTAGCTATAGTAAGCTCAGAATTTCAATTTAGCCGATTTTAAGCCGAAATTTAAGCCGATCGGCTTAAAATCGGCTAACTTGAAATTCTGAGCTTACTATAGCTACATGCTGACAAAATATTACACAGAATCATAGTAAAACATGTAAAGTTTAATTTAAATACTTGAAATAAGTGTTAAATGGCTTTTTTCTATCAAAAAAATCAAAAATTGAGTTAAGCCGAAAAAATCGGCTTCGATCTCTGGAATATATTAACAGTTGAACAAAACGGATTGAAACGAAGTGAAGTTCAACACACCTGTAACCTATGAACCTACTGTAATCGATAATTTGAATTGTTGTGGTCGAAATTCGATTAAAAGATTGAGACTAAAAAGTAGCAAATAAAAAAACGTTAAAAAAACTTTTTAAAAAACACGCTTTTTTTCCCGAAGACTAAAAAACAAATAACATTTTTTTTCTTGAAGTTAAGTCTGTTGTTAAGAATAAAAACCAAGCGACCAAAAAAGGAGCAAATAAAAAAATGTTAAAAAAAACTTTTTAAAAAACACGCTTTTATCAAAAAGATTAAAAACCAAAAACTTGAAAATAAAATAAGATCACACTTTTAGCGAATCAGGATTTTAAAAGTTTTCTTGTGACATCTAGAAATGTAACATAAATTTTTTCAAAATATTGTGATTAAGTCCAAGAACACAATGACTCTAAAAGCGTGGGGCGTAATTTAAGAATAATTTCTTAATTCAGCTAAGTTCTTAAGTAAGAGAAGCGTCAAATCTTAAAGCCCCACGCTTTTAGAGTCATTGTGTTCTTGGACTTAATCACAATATTTTGAAAAAATTTATGTTACATTTCTAGATGTCACAAGAAAACTTTTAAAATCCTGATTCGCTAAAAGTGTGATCTTATTTTATTTTCAAGTTTTTGGTTTTTAATCTTTTTGATAAAAGCGTGTTTTCTTAATTCTTTCAGGCCAAGATACTTTACTATGTCACAGACTCATCGCAGGCATCACAACTTAATCTGACATTTCACAAATTAAACTGCAACTTACCCGCAAACTGACAAGATCTTATAAACTCAACCTTCTTAATCCAATTCAATTATCTCCTCCACAATATGGCATTTAAATCTAGTTACATAACCATTATCAAAGCATCTCTTTATTAAGAAAAGAAATCTTCTTTCAGTTTTAATTAATGAGATACTGAGCAGTTTAATGTAATCACATCAATATCTAATTAGCATGTTAAATGAATATTTTAGTAGAAAAAACTTTTCAATGTCATGATTCATTACTTAATTACTATCATCTAGATGTTGTTTGTCGCGACTTTGAACTATCATTATTAACAGTTGGAGAAGTTTCGTGTAAATAGATTAAAGTTTTTTTTTGTGCAGTCATTACTGAGATATTGAAGGTTGTTTTGTAGATTTTAAATTCCGAGAATTTATTTTTGTGGGTTTCTGTTGACGTCAAAATCGATCGAACCCCGAAAATTTAAATTATGAAGCCTGATTGATTTTCTATGAATATAAATATCTTGTTCCTTCTTGGTAGGCAAAATAGGTAATATCTGTCTTATTATTTGTGGATACATAGAATGAAATTCAACATTCTTGTAAACAGTTCCTTTCTGGAATTAGATTAAAATTTCTTGAATCTATCATCGAATTTTGAATACGACAATCTGACTTGTTCTGAGAATTTTTTCATACCTTTATGAAAGCTAATTTTGCAGTCGAGTTCTTCGCAACTCTAAAAATTTCTTTTTTCTAGGACTGCTAGACATGGGACGAGATTGAAGATTTTTATTGGTGGAATAAGGTTGCTTGAGATGTCATCAAAAATGCAGAGCCTTATTGTGACTCCTCAAACATGTTGTGCACACCTTAAATCCCTTTGTGTCAAAAAACTTAAGCTGTTCTATCACTGATGATTCCCAAGACACTAGACAATAATCTATCTTAACTTTCTTGAATCTCCCTTTGAAAAACTTCTACAAATCATTTAAGCACAGCAACTAAAACTTATTAACTTCCCAAAAAAAAAATAATTCATTTTCTGTCAAAAATATGAATTTGCCACGTGTCGTCTACTATATCTCAAAATTAATAGTTTCATATAATTCATAAAAAAGATCTTTTTCTAGTTTAATGACAAAGAAAAGTCTAAAAGCTCTTAAATCCGGCCCGAAAAAAAAGTTGATCCCTAGCCACTGTTGCTAGAATTACATCTGCCTTTTTTATGATGGGCCAACGTGAAAAAACACAATTTTCCATTTATTTATCTCTTCTTTCATTTTTATACTGACACTCGAACACACACTCACTCATATTTTTTAAGATGGAAATGTTTTCTACAATATTTAAATATTTCATGTCCTGTTCACACGAGCAGCCACACTTGAATATTTGATCTACTTTCATATATTTTATCAAAGCAAAAAAATAATATAATAATAATAAATATGTGCGAGTCAGTTGTAAAAGAAGGTGTTATAGCAACAGTAGTATTAGCAATGAAAAGAAAAGAGTTGATACATAGAAAATGAGCTTTAAAGATACGGAATAATAGATATATATTCCAATATCACACAACAGAGTGAGTGTGCAGGAAAAAAAAGAAGAAGAGAATATATGACACACCTATAGGGATTTTAGGGGATAAATACATATTATAAATATATGATACGATATGGTTGAGAAGAAAAAGAGCACAGAATCCATTTTTATGATGTGTTATAATCAAACAAGAAGGTTTTCATGTAATAATATAGCGTGAAAATACAAAAGGAATTGATATAAAAATGCGTTGTACCATGTTCACATGGCATAGCAGAGAATAACATGATATAGAGGAATTTATCATTATTATATCGCAAGCACATATGTGCGTACGGCGAAGAAGAAGAAGTACCGAAAAAAAAGCTATTTAAATAAATCCATGAAAATATATGTTAACCAACCAACCAAACAGTGAAATAAAAAGGAGACACCATTACATATCCATGTGTACCCCACATACAAAAAAAATATTCAAATCATTCTATCAATCATATTTAAATAAGATACATACGGTTTCTGTTGTCCTATCTAAGCGTTCACCATCACGATACCTACAATGATTGAATGAATATTATATGAAAAATACGAAAAGGGGTGAGATTTTATTTGCGTGCATAAAATATCTGTAAAGCAGAGTTGGGATCTTGGATGTTGTATGGAATAGAGTCTGTTGCTTGAGATTGTGATTACTTCATTGCAATTTAAACATTGCTAAGAATTGACAGCGAATTATTCAGACACTGATTGTTCTCGTAAAGAGTCTTGCACAGTAAATCAAGGTACAGCCTCGGTTATCCTCTACGTTAGAGTAAGAATTAGCAAATACAGAAGTAACAATAGAGTAATAATAATGCAGAGACAGAAACAAAGCAAGAAAAACGCAAGCAACGGTCTAAAATAGTTCAGGCATAGCATAGGAACATGTCTCTCGGTTGCTTGTCATATTCTATCAATTGTAAGGGATCTGATACTGTTCTACATGAAGTCTTTGCAAGCCAACAGCTGCATCAAACAGAAATGACAATAATCCATTTACTTCATAATATTAAACACCAATAACCCAACTCTGCTGTACATAGATCGTTTGTAATTTTATTCCTTGTAATATATTGCCAAGTTACGGTCAACAGAAGTGATTTTTTATTAGTCATCGATATATCTCTTACTTTACGACTCGAATAAAATTATGAGAGTTCTTGAAAACATCTTTTAAGCTCCATAGATATTGTATCCAAATGTTTTTCACTTGTAAAGTTTGAGAGGTAATCAATAACTTGAGATATCCTTCAACCAAACCATTTTAAAGTAAATCTGTGGATAACTTTTACATGAGAAAATGTTTCATTATTATTATATTACTTCATCTACCCACAACCTAACCCCAAAAAACAAAACCATACAATCCATTTATTTCTTGATTCCGACAGACTTTTAAATAGAGGTAGCACACATTTAAGATTCAAGACCCAAAAAAAAATTTAAAACGTAAATATTTGACATGTGATTGTCATGTAATTTCCAAATACTTTCATTTCCTGCTGCTTGATTGAGTAAAATATAATATTATATTAAGGGTTGAATGGCTGGGTCGAGAAATAAAACAAATCTAAAGGATCTACGAATAATGAACGAGCTATCCCTGTGCATAATGGACAATTTAACGAAATTTATATATCCTATCCTTTTCATGTGTGTTTTCAGGGCTGTGAAGTTGAGGAAATTTTTCAATATTGTTGAATTGACATTTTTGGTCACTGAGGAGCAGATGATGATGTCATTTCTTTACCAAGCTCCTCTTCTTTAGGTTAACTTGATTTTGCAACTAGTTATTAGGCTCATACTACTCTGTTAAAGTCTTTGCGCAGCTTGCACCATCAAAATTAGAACCAAGCAACTTATTTTTAGAATTTACTTCTTGATTCTTACTTAAGTCGTTCTTTAAATCACAAAAAATACCTTCCGAGAAAAGAGCTCAGTATCCTAGTCAAACAGCATCTTCTCAAGCAACACAACTTACAACCCTGCCTTAATTCCATGAAAAAGGATTGTCCAATTTTCTGCACATCAATAATAACATAATGGCTACTTTTTCCATGTTTTCAATTTCCTTGAACTCTCAAATTTATTCATGTGCAAACCAAATCTTGGCATTATATCCCAAATACATCAACAGGAATATTATTTACATTGGATGGGATTAGAAAGGAAAAATATTCAAACTCACCATGTGATAATCGCTGGTGGTCGAGATCCCGCACTTTGACAGAGCAAATCATATCTACGTCCGGCTGAAAGAGGTTGATGTTGATGGGCTCCCAATAGTCGAATATTAAGTGGAGCAACTGCAAAAATATGACAATAAAATTGATAAAGGTATTGTTTTGGATGCATGATAAACATGTCAATATCTGAACTTACAATTCATATCTAATTGGACGGAGGATTCTATAGCGGTTGCTCTAGGATGATTTATTGCTTTGCACGTAAATCTAGAATTTAAATCTTGCCTACTTAAACGTTCTACTACAATTTCACTTCGTAAATATCGTCCACTTGGCACCATGAATGTCTCACTTTGAATCTGATATCCATCACGATACCAAGTCAATTTTGGTTGTGGCTTTCCCCCAATCACATCACACTTGAGCTTCATTGTATCTCCTTCACTGTATGGTCCCACGACTGTGGTCCGTTCGCTGTTTGATTCATCACGTATACTTATGCGTTCGGGGGGAACTGTAAATAAGAAAATAAAAATCAGATTCGCCCTAATTTTTTCTCATTAAATAAAGTTTTGGCTGATACGGCATAAACATTGGGCGTTATTGGGGAGCTTAACATGAAATTCAATCGAAACCTTAAGTAAGTAAACGAAGTGTTTTATAAACTTTTCTTCCATCCATTAGGTCGTAGATCAAGAACATGTATCCATAAAAGTTCGAAGAAAAATTTCATATAAAAAAACTTTATTTTTTGATTAATTGGTAGAAGCATATTTTCCATCTCAACTGTATAAGAGTCACCCTCATATACATTTATTTGGTATATGAAATCGCATTTTGTCGTTATAATGTGTTTTTGAGGGGGAGCAAAAGTTTTGTCTCGAAAAATAAATAAATTTCAACCCTTTTTTTCTTCATCTTATTCCTCTATTCTTAATGCATGTGAACGACTTTAGAGTTAAAAAATACAAAAGCTCTTTCACACATACACACTTTCACGCTCCGTGTATAAATCTATAAATTTTCTTATACCATACATACCCCGTTCCTATAAAGAGAAAATAGTTTAAGATTCTTATATTCCAACTTTTATACTGCAAGCTTTACATTTTTTTAGTGCTTGCTTCTTGCTTCAAGTCAAGTTGAAAATGTCAGAGAGTAAATCATTTAAGGCGAAACCATTAAAAAGTTTCATAATCATTTGACAATGGATGTTGTGTACGGGATTATTGGATGAAAATGTCAACCTTTTTGACTGTACATTGAGCTTTTGTCTGGATTAATTCAACAGAAACTTCATTCATGTTTTCGATTATTGAATTCCATATGTTTCTGGATGTTGAATGAGTCAATTGGATTGTTTTGACAATTTTTTGAATTTCGGTTGAATCAGGAATAGAGTCAACAAGTTAATAGTCTCCTTTTCAGAAGTGTGAAGTGAAAGAAGTCCAATCCTTGATCCAAAAAGTGTGTTAATCAGTAATTCATTTTGATGAAATTCTGACTTCATGCTTGCTCTGGTCTAAATTCTATTTCTTTGATCCCTATACTCCAAAATATATGCTTCCTAGACATTGTTCTACAGTTGAGATTTTATGAAAAATATTTTCAATATTAATTTTTTCAAAAACTGCACAAAAAGCTGTACAAAGTCCACATATTCCCTCAAATGTAACTTCAATCATAATTTCTGCTTACTCATTCCAATCCTTTCACACAAAAAAAAATCCTCATGTAAGCACAAGACATGTGAAATAGCTAGCACAAAGTTCACAGAATAAGTTTTAATGATTTTTATGAATATGAGTACTGCAAAATAATCAATTTATATCCAAGATGGAAACTTATGACTGAACAGACGCATGCAGAAGATGAAAAAAAAGTCCCAATAGAAAAAGCTTTCAAAGAACTTCAAAGACAGAAGAAAATGCGCTAAAAAGTATAAACTATGTGAGTTTTAAAAGAGAGAGAGAATGTCATACAGCTTGAATGTTTCTTAATGCATTACAATATGACTTTCAGCTATATTGAATTTGAAAACTGAATTTTTTTTTTACTATAAAACTTGCTCCATTCAAGTTGAAAGGATTCAAAGGGAAGGATGAAAAAATTGCAATCGCATTTATTTTTCAATTCCTTTCTCCTTTCAATCTTCCCTCCGATTTTTTATTTTGTGTATGTGTGTATATTGGCAATGAAAAGCAGATGATGATGAAAGAGAGCAAGAAAGAGAAGTATTTTTATAGCATTTTCTATCAATCAACATTTCTCTTCAATTTTCAATGCATTCATGTAACGATCAAACTATCTTTATAGTTAAGGATGATGAACTAAAATAAATAAAAGAGTTGGAGATTTATTGATGATGATTGAGTGCTTTTGAACGCATAAATATAAAGGATTGAGAAAGTTTGATGGTTTTTGGGAAGTTTTGAAGATTCTTTGAACAACAAAAAGCTAGATCTGTGATTAGTAAAACTCAAAGAATCTCTAAATGCAGCAATGAGTCCAAAAATAAATGTAGAACTAATAAGCAAGTGTTAAACAGCACCTAAAAATCTGCTTCTCCCAATTTTCACATCATTTAAAAAGAAAAACTATCCGCCAAACTGACATCCAAAATTTGTAAAACAGTTCCACTTCAATTCATAGTTTAGGAATCCACTTAAAATGAAAAGGAGTAAAAAATAAGAATGATGAATAAATGAAAGCAATTTGGTAGTTTCAGTTGCTTTAAGCAAAAACATTATTTTGTGAAATGAGCTGAAATATTTCAGTCTGCTTGGATATAAATTTAGTAGTCAGTCAGCTAACCACTCGCAATAGATGAATGTTCTGATGAAAATTTTCATTTGAACTTTTTTTTTTTTGTGTTTGCCATTCTTTAAAAATAATTCTTTTTTGTGTTTGGAACTGCTCCATTTTGAGTCGATGAGGCAAAAAAAGAACTAAGCGGAGAATAAAATGATTTAAAATGCGGATATATTGATGCGATTAAGGTGAACAAGAGAGATTAAAGTCCCGAAAATTGGAAAATTCTTTATCCTCCGTTTGCCGTCTTGCTTTCCTTTACGTAGCTATCACATTTCATTCAGCTTTTTTTATCAATAGGACGAGAAGATAAAAATTGAATCATTTTTTTTTCATCCTTCGATGTGTTTGTCATTCAATTTTATCTTCATCATATTTCTTACATCTTGCTTCCTTATACATGCATGCTCATGAATTTATTGTATGACTTTCATTCAGATTCATCTTTGATATTTCATGAGTCTAGAGTGTGTATCTTGGAAACCTTTGTAAATTATTTCATTCATAAAAAAAGATGTTTTTGCTTCTTTAATTAAATTTCCATCTGGAGAAAATGTCAATTTTTCTTTGTGTTAAATTTCTCTTTGAAATATTGACATGAAACTGAGTCTTTTGAATATAATGTCTAGCAAAGTTATTGTAAACATTTCTTAAGAAATCTTCCTTAAATTAAAAGATTTGCTTTTAATTCTGTGTCTATTTACTAGATGGAAGTAATTGCACAAGGTTATTGTAAACATTTCTTAAGAAATCTTCCTTAAATTAAAAGATTTGCTTTTAATTCTGTGTCTATTTACTAGATGGAAGTAATTGCACAATATAATTCTGGTGTCGGAACAGAGTTGAATCTTACTAGGCATTTGTAGGTTAGTAATAAGATGGAAGATGTTAAGTTCGATTCCTCATTTTCTTTATACAACAGTTAACCATCATAGAAATGTAGCAACAGAAGTATGAACAAGGTTTGTGGATCTGATCAAATAACGTTTGATCATTTTTGATCAATTTCGCGCTCTTGAGGATGAATGGGATGCTTTACAATACTCTTAACGATGTTAAGGATAGTTAGGAGCAGAATCCCTTAAAAATAACCTAGAAATATTCTTCCCGTAAGCATCAAAACATCCGCCTGTCTAGATAAACCTTCCTCATGGGCATTCTCATAGTAACAAGAGCTACTCCTTCCATTTGACTCGATGTTCTATTCGAGTTTCGTCAAAAAAAAACTCCAAACTTTAAAAATAGAATCAGTTTGAACATAAAGATGTAAAGGTGAGTCCCAAAAGACACACCAACTCTGAAACTTTTCCATCAAAAAATATTCTAAAAAAAAACTTTCAATTTCCCACGAGCTTTAAATCCTCCATGCCCCAAATTTCATCATCAGCACCTCTCAATCTTGCATGCAAGAAATAATCTTCAATCATGAAACTTTCAAATCATTTCCATTTTACGGATATAAATTTTTAACGCTTATTTCTTTTCCTACATGTCAAAATCATTACATATATCCTATATCCTCTTTATAAGAATATTCAGACAACAAGATGAAGATCATACAATATGTAGAACATAAATTTTTCATATTTTTCCCCTTTCTTCACCCTTCCTTTGACTTTAGTCAACTTCCCTCAAAATACGACACATAATCCGCATTTGATGAATAGCATATAATACTTAAAATGTGTGTACTTCAGAATGCGACAATATGGTGTTTCATCTAATCAGCTAAAGCTTATACCAGATTTTGATACCATTAAAGATGCATTGACGAAAAAGACATTCAAGGATGAGAAGTATAGGATGGGGATATATGTGGATATGGCAAAAGATGAGACAGGTTTCGCGAGTGAATAAATTAATTTATTCAGATATTTGTATGTACTCTTCCTGATTTTTTTTTGGACTGGATATGAGGGGTATTTGGGGCTTAAAAATGCACTTTGTCTGTGGGTCTTATAGGCACACTAAAGATCTAATAATATTTACAATTGGATCAAGCTCTTGCTTCTAAAGTAAGCCTTACACATGTCAGGCATCGCTAGCTTGAAAAAAATGCGCTTTATACCCACCCAGCTCAACTTCATTCCTAACTTCCAATCATAATATTATATATTCACCATTATACACATCAGCAGCTTATGTATAAAATATCAGCACCAACAAGCAATGGCAGCAATACAATAAAATACAACATTGCTGCTTTTTCCATTGCTAGTAGTTGCTAGCACTGCTGCTTATGACGAAACATAAAGAATTCCTCTTTTATGGTTGAAGAAGAAGGAAAGAAAAAAAAATTATTAATATTTTCACCACATTCATCTTTCTATCCAGATCTTTATTTCTTGTTACCGCATTTTCTTCAAGGAAAAGCGAGATTTCAGCATTTTTACGTACATGACAGAATGTGTATGTGGATATGGATTGGAATATATTTTCTTATTTACTCTATTTCATTTTTTATCCTGAAAATTAATTTTCCTCTTTCTCATCTTGAACACTCCTTTATCATATCTTATAAGGAAAATAGAATAAAATGTAACTGAAGTGTGTCAAATTGAAATGTTGATAAATGCACGGTGGAAAAAAAAGGAAGAGAGAGAGAGAAATTATATTTATTATTGTGTGAGAATTTTTCCATATTTATAAAAAATGACCAATTTTATATTTATTTTTTGCTCATAACAATTGTAGCAATTGAAC